GCTTCTAACTCTATAGACGCATTTGCCATACTAGTAGATTCCTTCATTAAGGCACATGTCGGTTACATCAAAGTAGCAACAAGGAAATCTGACATCTTCAAAATCAAGTAGAGGGAGAACCAGATTCAGCGAAAGTTCGTATCTCACTTTCAAATGGAATGAATGGAACTACCAACAGTCTTAGACGACTAGGTAGTACAGGCCTTCACTCAAGGCCTGAATGAACGAAGCTTGGTTGCTTCAAAGCAGCTAAAATAGAACTTGGTCGAGTGTCCTGCTATGACCTGGTCGGACATTTACAACTAATACCAGTCAAAGATCGGGGTTGAGGACGACCAACTAGGAGCCCCCTCGGGCTTGGTATACCCAAGCAAGCTTCTGGCAAAGGAGCCAAAGCAAAACAAAGAAAGGTACCAACCATACACCGAAGATAGGAGGAATGCCCCAAGGTGTAACATACCCCGCACTGATCGAAGAATGGACCGAGGCCAGAATCCTCGGGGACTCGTCAACAGAGCTGGGTTGGATAGGTACACGGGGCCGGCGGAGGCACCTCGCTTGTCGGAATACAACTTTAAGGTTAATGTATCAGACATCATATTCGCCATTAGTAAAATCAGAGACACTAGGTGGCTAAGGCCTGTACAATCGGATCCTTCACAAAGGAACCATAACTTAGTGTGTGAATTTCACAATACGCACGGTCACAGGACCGAAGATTGCCAACAAATCCAGGAAGAGGTAGCCCGACTACTCAGCAAAGGTCACCTCCGGCAATTCCTCAGTGATTGAGCCAAAAATCAATTTCGGGAAAGGGAGGCGACCAAAAAGGACGAAGCAAATGAGCCGCAACATGTCACCCATATGATCTTTTAAGGTGTCGGTGCCCTACAGGAACCCACGGTTAGGAGAACGAAAACACCACTCACCAGGAAGAGGCAAACTCGAGGCTCTATCTCAGCCCCATAATGACGCACTGGTAACTTCTTTTTTTGTGGATACACTTCAGATTAAACTTGTATTTATGGGTCCAGGTAGCTAGGCCAATATTATCAGGTCGAAGGCAGCAGAGCATCTTAGACTGCTTGACCAAATTATGCCCGCCTCTTGAACCCTTAACGGATTCAACACGGCGATCATAAGGCATATTCTCGGTTGTTCTGAATGAACAAACAAAGGGTCATACCGCGTTCTTCAAGCTTATAACGGAAGGCCTACCGAGGTTCAAAGCGCCATCACTACTAAGGTACAACCATCTACCTTTTCAAGTTACATATCGTACTCACCATTATATAGGTGCCCGACTAAGACAGCCGAAGCGCTAACCCAGCTCGAAGACCTTAAGGTTTTAAAAGCATCCGTTGCACTCTTTTCCTTAGACCGAGTTTTTATCCCGAAAAGGGTTTATCGGCAAGGTTTTTAACGAGGCAACATATACATGCTACCTAAAGAAGATCCAAGTATTCAAGGCTTCTTTCGCAATCAACCTCAAATACTAGGGGGCATCCCCCCGGAAGGTCACCTACTCGAAGAAGCCAAGATACGCCAAACAAGGGCTTAATAGGAAAATAATGTGTCGGGCCAAACGGTCGAATGAATCCTGTCCATATAGAACAATCAGGCCCTTAATAGCAAAGACATGTATACTTGTACCAAGTGATCAAAGAATAATTCCCAAAAGCATTTTGCATTTCAAGGATACTCGATATTTTTGCAAAAAACGACCCCAGAGCCAAAAAAATGTCCCGATACTTGGAGTCTGGCGTCAACACTCAAAACAATGCGACCTCCGGGTCAGAGCTCCTAAATCATAAAGCCTCAATGAGGCAACATCAAGATCACAAAGTGGCTCCAGAGCCAAAAACGTCCCGAACACTCGGGGACTGGCATCAAAAACTCAAAACCACATGACCTCCGGGTCGGAAACTCCGAAATCGCAAGCCCTTAATAAGGTAATACCCAAGTCTACAAATAATGGCTCCCAAGCCAAGAAACCATCAATGACTCGGGGAGTGTCGTCAATCTCCATCTCCATCGACGTATCAAAACCTGAGGCTGTAAGGCCACATGCGGGCAGCCTCGGTCTAGTAAGACCTACATAAGGCAACGACAATATCTGTAAGACCTCAAACAAGGCATGAACCATACTTGTACCAAGTATCCAAAACCGTAAGACCTCAAAGGTATGAAAAAATTGTAAGACCTTACTAACGGCATAAACCTGATCTCAAATTTTAGGCTATATATCAAACTTGTAAGACCCATAAAAAGGCATACCCTCGATATAGATATCGAAACTACTTCACTCGGGACATAAAGGCTCCGTCCAAACACAAATGACTCTGGTCACAAGGCTGTACCAGCCAAAACTAACGCGACTCGGGGATGCCCGACCGTCGCTATAAATCACAGACCTCCACACTTCGAATATACTTCAGAAAGAATCAGTTAAACAGGCTACCCTCGATATAGGCAAAAGTGCTTCGACCATGTCAGCTCCTAAACGCTGGCTTTGAGATACTCAGCCACCGAGCCAAACCTCCGGAGGTGCTCGATCATCGCCATATAATGACTCACAATCGAGGTTTTTTATTAAATTGAAGAGTCAGGAAAACACTATTTCAAAAAATCCTTATCAAGGAAAAAATAAAGCCTACATAAAAGGTCGCATCGACCCAAGGCGTAAGAGACACTGCTGTCAGCCCACATAAAAGGTCTCATCGACCCAAGGCGTAAGACTCATTGTCCCCATCCCACACAAAAGGTCATACCGACCCAACACGTAAGAGTTTAAGGACCAGCCCTAAATTCGAAAACTTGAGGGTCGAATGAGAACGAGTCAAAACTCGATTTCGAGACTGAACCCAAAACAGTTAACTAAATATGCCTAAGAGCAGAAGTGTAAGAGCCATTGTCGCCAACCCACATAAAAGGTCACATCCACCAAGCACGTAAAGAGCCTACGGCCAGCCTAATGAGCCCCAGGGCCATACCACGAATCTAAGTATTCCTCTCAACTCGAAGACCAGTTCATCTGGCTAAAATCAAGACAAAAAGAAATACAGGAGAAACAAAACCACGAAGTTTCCTTTTTATACTTACATGTGGAAAAATACAAGCTTCGTTTACAACATGCTTAGAAAATACTATATACAGAGACAGAGAAGGAAAGATACGTCCCCTTGGGGACAATGGCCCGACGGCCCCATCCTCGCCATCCTCGGCATCAGACAGAAGGAATTTAGCATCGTGTTCTTACGCCTTTGCTTGCTTGATCTCTTCCAAGAGGTCGAAGCCCCTGGCATGAATTTCCTCGAGGGTTTCCCTCCGAGATTTACACTTCGCGTACTTTTTACTATTGCTGTCACGATCAAAAGCTTCCCCCAGCTCAGCTTTAGAATAGGTAGCACCCTTTAGATAGGGCAGAAGCCTTTGCCCGTCGATTTAGCGGCCTTTGCCCTCCTCGTGGGTCTCCACCTCAAGGGACCGATCCGAATCGGCCGTTCCTGATTTAGCGGCCTCTGGTCAGGGCACCTGCGGGACTCCCATGCCCGACCTTGTTCTATGTACTAAATAGTACTGGCCCTCATCATTATCTTCATCCCTAGTGCTGGGACTTGCTCCGGAAGCTGAAGCCGAGGTCCTGGTGGCAGCTCGAGGCCTGCGTGATTTAGGTTTCTTTGCCTCAGAGGAATCAACAACCACCTTATTCTTCCTTTTCTTATCCTTAGCGGGCTCCGAAGTCTCCACCTCGCCATCGGGAGGTGGTCTCATCCACACACCATCGCCAAGGCCTACCCAAACGCAGCGGCTGAAGTTTATTAGCACGAAGGATACCGGGGAGAAGCATAAGATTAAGATATAAGTGTCAAGAAGAACTTTACCATGATTCTTGGCCACCCACCGCGTTTCAGCCAGGTCAGGCCAAAACCGGACGAGATACGAAAACAAAGTATCCAACTGCCCGATCCATCCCGGCAGATCCTGAATCACTTCGGGATCCCAAGCGGTAGCTACAAAGACCAAGGGGAAATTATTTTTCAGAACAGGGGTAAGAGGATCACAGAACACGTTCGAAGGAAAAATACTTATGCTGTGTATTCCACTTCTCCGGGAATGGTATCCTTCCGGTCGCGATGATATCTGAGGTCCTCACTCAGACGAACCTGCTCATCCACCCTCGATCTTTGTCCTCATCAGTGCTCGAGAAAAATGATTTTTTGGACCGGTGGTGAAGCTTAATCAAACCTCAATAAAATCGAGGGCTATATAATCTGATCAGATGGTCGAGGGTAAAGGTCTCGCCCTCGACCCCATCGGAGAAATGGAGGATCATGCAGACTATCCTCCAGAAAGACGAATAGATTTGACCAAGTGTCACTTGGTACTTATTACAGAACTCGAGAATAACTGGATCTATCTCTGAGGAAGAAAGGTTAAAAGAATCGATTGGACCTAGAGTGAATGGGTAAGTATATACATAAAGGAAACCAGCTTTGTGATCAGTTATGCTCTCATTAGAACGGGGAATCTCAACCAGCGTTGCCTCCTCCCATCGATAGTATTCTTTCACTTTCTCTATGTCGGTCACAATGCTAATGTACCGGGACACCTGTTCTCATCGATCCGATATAGATGAAGGTTTGTCGACGGTAAAATCCTTCATGGTGTCGAACCCGATGGGGGAGTACATTGTTTAATGATGGGTATCACTTCGGGCTTTCCTTTGGATGTTCGGGATGAAGTGGCAGCCTCATCTTTCCGAGGAACTGTCTTGGAAGTTCTAGCCATGATAGTGGCAAAACTTTTCTGAGAAAGTAGGCAAAGGATCAAGAACGGAGGAAGAAAGAATGTGAAGGGGGATGGATTTAGCCTTGAAAATTTGAAGATATTGTGAAAGTATGAAGTACCAACGAGTGGTGCATTTATAGGAGCCATGTGGGCAGCGGAAAGGACGAACCAATAGCGGGTCATGGGCTCCTCGATAGTCGTGTTTGACGATGACCCTTGCACAACTTTTTGAAGTATGGCATTTAACGCTCTGAGGGGCTAACATCATAGCGATGATGCTTATGAAGTAGGAGCTCAAAATCGTTTATCACTTTGTTCTAGGAAACGGGGGCACTATCTGTATACGGTGAAAATCGACGGCTCGATTTCACGGGCATTAAGGCATCTCGAGGGCTTCCAGTGATCGACTCCGAGAATTCTCAATGATCGACTTCGAGACAGTTCGACTTCGAGACAGTATAATTAATAATTGGCCCCGAGACATTGTGGATTATCGGTCTCGGCGGATCAAGGTGGAGTTCCCAAGGCACGTGGTTCAAGTCTAGTGGACTAGCCCAAAAGGCGAATCAAGGCATTAAATGGCTGTACCAGCCCTATATCTTTGTAATTAATGCATTTGTACTTTGTTGGGATTCCCCCTCTTATATAAAGAGGATCATTGTCATTTGTAAACAACTGTGGCTCCAATACTAAACATACAAGAACATTCTCTCTGCTCTTTAACATATTCTGTTGATTTTATTACTTAATTTATTGCTCATATTTATTGTGTTCTACTTAAATTTCATGTTCATTGCTTATTATTGGCCATAAAGAGCCCGTCTTTGATTTATTTATAACTGTTAATCACCATCGACCACATTTGATAGCTCCCAGCAGAGCTTCAGACTCGACCCCGAGGCCCTCGAATAGGCATGCTCGAGGCCCTGATTGTCAGCGATTCGGTTTGGTTAACATCTTGTTTTTAAGCTCTTATCTCGTTCCTAAGTTTTTCACATGGCATCAACTGCCTAACAACTAGCATAAAAATAGATCACGTATTTTTAGAACCACTAAATCAAATTTAATTGTTATTACCATTTTCACAGTAAACCCCAGCGTTTACGCCTTCTTATCCCTTCTAAATATCTCATGGTCAGTATATACACATATTAAGAATGTATTTGGTACGACGAAACCTGAATATTTTTCTTCATTAGTGAATAAAAAACGTACTATATAATGCAATCAAACACCTTATGACTTTCTCATAGAAATTTGTTTTCCTAAAAATATGATTATTGTATTATACATGTAATGTTCCTATTCAGAAACCATAATTCTGATATTGTTTTATGATGATATATAGGGAAAGAGATCAATATGTGATCATTTAGAAGAGATTGTGGATTACATAAAAGACATGCGGAAGAATATGGAGGAGCTGGCATGTAATAGAGAAAGATTGAAAGAAATGAGAAATATTTGTAGCTCTGATCATAACTCTCACTTGGCTGCACCATCTTCCTCTATGAAAAGTGATGATGATCAGGATAGAATATTAGTGAAAAAATGTAAGGAAGGAGTTGAAATTTCAGTGATCAGTAATTTGGAAGGAGGGTTGGCTCTTACCAAAGTGCTTAGGGTTCTTATGGAAGAATGGCTGCTTGTTATTAGCTGTGTTTCCTCCAAAATTAATCAGAAGGAAAGATTGAAGCAGTAACAGTTGAAACTTATATTTTTACAATAATCCTAAAAATAGATTAAAATAGGGGTGAAAGGCAAAGAAAAATGAGCAATTATTTCCCATTTCTTTTTACCTTGTGCGTTGGGAGGGAATGGGAATCTAGAGGCCACTCCTTTTGGAAGAAGTTTTGGAAAAGAAAAAGAAAAAACTATTTTTCATTTAACATTGCAGAGCCTACATAAAAATATGCTCAATAGTTAATCAAAAACTAATTGAAATTAAAAAAAAATTATACACTCGTCATCTCATTGTGACTGTCCCATAGTTACTCGGTAAAGTTAAAAGATTTAACCACATGCCTATTTGAGTTAATTAATGCAAAACGTTGAGAACAATCATTCTTCAACTCTTCCCGGAAGGTATAAGAATGCAACATTTTATTCCAAGAGAAAATTAATGCTCAGGGCAATTGAGAGCTGTGCCCCGTTAGTCATGGATTAACCAATAACTCCGCCTCAGCAAGTCCCACCATCAACACTGATGTTTACTTGATAACATGAAATACAAATTGTATTTTAAGAAAGAACATAAAAGTATTAGCAGTGGAAATAAAATAGTAGAAAGCGGTTACCCTTATATATATCTCTGATGTATCCTCTTCATTATATATGCAAGCTTGCTTTCGGCTCTCCGTTATATATAATCAGAATTAGAACATTAGAGCCCCTAAATGACAGTGCTACGCCACGTAATTTATATGGTAGAAATAAACTACTGTCAGAAATAGGATTTTGTTAGTCTTGACTTCACACTTTTAAAATCAAAAGGAATCTTGTAAAGATGATATATAGTTCTGCATCTTTTTTACTGTCATGTTGAATCCCGTTTCACATACTTGGTAAACTACGGAAAATCACCACTCCAAACAACTTGTGTTCACATCCTCATATATATAGAAACTAAATATGAATGGATTGCGGAAGACAAAGACTTAGAAATAGGGACCGCTTAATCTACACTTTGCAGTTTCATTTTGAGAGTTACTATGTGTAAACACCTTAAATAGGGGAATAGGACTTTCTGACCTTTCATTTTCCTAAACGTCTTCCTCTAAAAGATGAAAATTAATTTTATAACTGAAATGTTAGGTAAGGGATTTAAAGAAGAGGTAATTGACTAACAGAAGGGGAAAATAAGAAAAGAAGATGGTAGAATCTGACGATCCTCTTTGTTGCTTTCACAATTCATCATTGTCCTCATTGGTATTTATTTTACAGTTTTAAATACACATTTATGTTGTAACTTCATGAATATATTGAATTTTTTTAATTAATAAAATAAGGTAAAAGGCCAAAAAAACCCATAAATATTATTGATGGCCAAAGAGAGGTGCCACCTCAGCTCTTATATTCCTTTCTTATATATATATATATATATATATATATATATATAGTTAAATAGTGAGGCACACTTACAACTTAATGTTGCATTCACACCCCCATTTCAAAATCCTATATTAATTGTGAAAGGAATTAGAATTATGTTATATAGCTTAAATAAAAAAGAACTTACATAATGTAATGTTTTGTTTAATTTTTAATGTCTTAAATTTTATGATTTGTGGAATAATTTATGTCACGACCCAAAATTCATTAAAAGCCGTGATGACGTCGGACATCGTTGCCAGGCAAGCCAACAGTAAATACTTAACTTAGTTCTCATTTTAGTATTTTGAAATCATAAGTTTCTTCAATTTAAATAGTAAACGATAGTATTTACAGAGTAAATCATAAAGGTTTAATCATTTCAATACTGAACAACCCATAATCACCCCAAAAATCGGTGTCACAAGTGCATGAGCATCAACCAGGAAGATAAAACAAAATACAACATATGTCTGGAATACAATTAGACAGGAAGGATAAAAACAACTCTGAAGGAGACTCTGCTGACTGCGGATCGTAACATGGAATGTAGCTCAACTAAGCCCCCGTTTTAGCCGCACCTCTGTGCCTATAAGCCACTAAACATATATGTCTGCACAATAAAATGTACAGCAAGTATAGTATAAGTACGTAAATAACGCATACTCAGTATCCAGTCTAACCTTGAAGAAGTAGTGACGAGGGGTCGACTCCGACACTTACTATGGGCTATAAATAAAATGCCAATGATATAATTTAAACATGGAATATATAGAACGACTGCAAGCTCAATATTATGAATTAAATAAGCAATTCTTTTATAATTAAGAAATCTCCAAATTTATTTCTCATCATTTAGCAATTTATCTCAAGCCAATGAGGCAATATTATTTATTATAAATTCCAAAACAATCAACAATCATGCACAAATCACGTCGAGGTCGTACAGTCCGATCCAACATATAAATATAAACTGTGCACTGTCGAGGGTCGAACAACACAAATAATCGATGCATCTATTAAATCCGCCGAGGCGTTCGACCCGCCTCAAGAAAAGATAAACATATTCAAACAACCAAATCAAGAATTTATTAAAGGGACAATTATTCAAGGAAATGCCAATTCTCATTTAACGGTCAAGAAAACGAATTTTATTTCACATATGAGGTTAGTTCCCTCTTACAAGGTTAGAAAGGAGACTTACCTGCTCCGAAATTCCATAATCGGCTCCCAAGCCATTCCAACAACTCAAATCGATGCCTCACACTCCAAAATAGTCAATAATGAGCAATTCCATAAATATATACTCTAATACTCATTAAAATCTTATTTACAATAATTTTCAACTCCGTTTGAAAAGTCGATAAAATCACCCTCGGGCCCACGTACCCGGATCTTAGCTGATCTAATCATAGATTATTTGAAACAACTTGAAATTATAGATAGTATTACATTACCTGAGTTTATAGAGAAATTTCTTGAATGGTCAAAGAAAGAAGTGAATAATTCTTCAGATTTAAATTCTGATGGTATAGAAGTAAGGGTTGAAAATCAAGAGGATAAAGCTATTTTTCTTTAAATAAAGAAAGTGATGGTTAGATTCGCGTTCCCTTTCCAGACTATCAAGGATTTCAAAGATTCCGAAATTTTCGAAGATAAACTTTACCCATAACCCCACGAACTCAAATAGATATTTTATTTCCAATTCCATACCCATACTCGTGGTCAAAATCAAAAAATACCAATTTCTAGGTTTTTCTTCAAAATACCAAATTTCTACAAATTTTCATGTCTAAATTCATATATAAACTTTGTATTTAACTCAAAACTAGAAGAAACCACTTATCTCTTGATGATGATGGAACCCCTTCTTAAAATGCTCTCAAAAATCGCCTAAGTCCAAGTAGAAAATGAGGGAAATGGGAAAAGTCTCAGAATAAAAAGCCCTTGGCTCCAGTCGTAGATGTCACATTTGCGATATCTGGCTCGCAAATGCGATGGTCGCATTTGCGACAAATGCATAGCAAATGCGAAGCCAAGCTGTCCCTGCCATGGTCGCATTTGCGACCAAAATCTTCGCAAATACGAAGAGGACAACATCGCAAGAGCGATCAATTCTTCGCATATGTGATCCTTCCCTCAGAAGCCTAGGTTCGCAAATGCGCGCACTACCTCACAAATGCGATCACACCAGAACCAGCAAATCCAACTTCTTCACAAAACACTCCGAAAGTACTCTGAAACTCACCCGAGCCCCCGGGGCTCCAAACGAAACAACCAGACGTGTCTAAAAACATAATACGAACTTGCTCGGCGCCTCAAATCACATCAAACAACGTCAAATTCATGAATCGCACCCCATTCCAAGCTTAATGAATTTTAGAACTTCAAACTTCCATATTCGATGCCGAAACCTATCAAATCATGTTTGATGGACCTCAAATTTTGTACATAAGTCACATTCAACACCACGGACCTACTCCAATTCCCGGAATCGAAATCCGGCCCCGATATCAAAAGTCCACTTCTTGTCAAACTTCTCAAAAACTTTTAAATTTCTAACTTTCGCCAAATGACAATTACCTACAGACCTCCAAATCTACTTTCGGATGCGCTCCCAATACCAGAATCACCATACAGAGCTATTCCCAGACTCGGAATCCCAAATGGACATCGATAACATTAAAATGCGCTTCCACCCCAAATTGATGAAATCCTTCCAAATTCCAACTTTCCACTATAGGTGTAGAAAGGCTCCTGGGTCATCCAAAATCCGATCTGTACATATGCCCAAGTCCAAAAATCATCATACGAATCTGCTCGAACCTTCGAATCCCGATTTCAAGGTCGTTTACTCAAAAATCCAACCTTAGTCAATGTGTCCAACTTAAATCTTTCGAAATGAGAATTCGCTTTCCAATTCCACTCCGAACTTCCCGAATTTCAATTTCGACCATGCATACAAGTCATAATACCTGAAGTGAAGCTGCTCATGGCCTCAAAACGACCGGCCGGTTCGTTACACTCTCCCACTTAAACATACGTCCATCCTCGAACATGCTAAGAACTGCTCTAGAGTTGTCCGAAATTATTGTTTGACACCTCATGCACCTACCTGTTCTACCACAACTCAGTTGAGCACACTAGCTCGAGCCAGTATGAAGATTCTCCCTTTTTCTTAGTCAAATAAGCCTTGGAGCTGTCATGACCCCGGTTCGCCCTCCGTGAACCATCGTGACGGCACCTAGTCTCTACAACTAGGTAAACCTAAATTATGGAAGAGAAACAAAAATTTGCGAAAGTAAAACAAATTAAAACAAGAATAAAGTAATAATATTGTTTAAATGTGAGACTCGGCATACACCATGTTTAACTCTCAATACTAATACGTAAATCCAAGACCCGGAAACCCACGAATCACAAGCTAAGATCAATACTACATAGCTCTAACTCCAGAATATCTAATAAGAACAGAAATATACATAAGGGCTAAATACTAAAAGTAGGAATAGAAAGGGACTTCTCGGTCTGCGAACGCGGCAAATGTACCTCTAAGTCTCTAGATCAGTCACCTCTTCAAGGATGATAGGCCTGACTAGCGGTACCTAGATC